CAGTCAACTGAGCTCCCCACAGGTAGTAGGATGGAGAATGCCAAGAGCAGACAAGAGCCCTGCTGTTCCACCTTTTCCTACAAATTTCCTCCATCTTCATTTTGTTTTTCTCCATTTGGCGACTTTCTTACTTTTCAATCACATAAAATCCAGTAGTTCAGTTTGGGGGGGAACCATAAGTTATATGCGGATTTTTAGCTGCCTGGGGATCAGCATTCCAGGGTCAACTGTAATTCCTAGAAGGGAATTTGGGATAAATGGAGGGTTTTATATTTAAGATAAAAGATGTGTATAGAGACTAAAGGGATATTATAGGAGATGTTGCAGATATTGGAGACAGGAGAAGATGGAGCAATTTCCTCTAAGAGTTAAAATAAGGATAACTTTTTTTTTTTAGTGCTTTATTTATTTTTGAGAGAGAGAGACAGAATGTGAGCAGGGAAAGGGAGAGAGGGAGGGAGACACAGAGTCGGAAGCAGGTTCCAGGCTCTCAGCTGTCAGCACAGAGCCCAATGCTGGGGCTCAAACTCCCGAACCGCGAGATCATGACTTGAGCCAAAGTCGGACGCTTAACCAACTGAGCCACCCAGGCGCCCCATCAAGGATAACTCATAAGTTTGAAGGAAACTAGGTGAGAATAAGTATGGATATTTTCAGGTATGGAAACAGAAAGTAAAAGGAGACTTTGGTAATCTCAGTTTTCTTGGTAAGTTAGGAGGTGCAGTTGTCTGTTTGGGAAGGGGCATTGAGTGAGACAGGAAAGTGGTTGAACAATGATTTAAGTCAGGCATAAGTTTAGAAAAGTCACTGAGGGGAATAAGAGAGGAACTTGACCAGGGACAAACACAAAAATGAAATGCTTTGTGTTTTGCTAATGTCCATGTATGTGTGATTGTACTTAAGCATTGCTTGACTGCTCAGGGACAGGCACAACCTCAAGAAAGGTTAGCTTTGAGCCAGAGTATTTGTCTTACAGTGAGGTATGGCAGAAGAAGAACATGAATGAGTGAAAGAAAAAACATGTAATGGTGTTTGGAAAGTCAGGAATGAGAAGTTTGACAGATTAGAAGAAAATGAAGGGACTGAGTGAGTTAAGGTCTTAACTTTCTAAAACAGATATATGATTTCACTCATATGTGGAAATTGAGAAAGTTGACAGAATAACATAGGGGAAAGGAAGGAAAAATAAGATAAAAACAGAGAGGGAGGCAAACCATAAGAGACTCTTAAATACAGAGAACAAACTGAGGGTTGATGGGGGTTGGGGGAGTAGGTTAAAAGGTGGGTTAAATGGGCATTAAGAAAGGCACTTTTTGGGATGAGCACTGAGTATCATATGTAAGAGATCAATCATGGGGTTCTACTCCTGAAGCCGAGACCACACTGTATGCTAACTTACTTGAGAATAAGAAAATAAAAATTAAAAATAAGTAAAAATTTAAAAAGATACAAGAACACTGAGAAAAGGGGAGGATATTAAATGCTCATTTTCCACAGTAGGAAGTCAATTAATTATGCCTGAGCTGAAAAATCAAGAGGCAGCAGTTATTAAGAGAAATGTGTTATTTAGGGAAATAGAATAGTTAAATTAAAAAAAAGTTAACTAGAAGAGGAGAAAGTGATTTTGTTTGGTAAGGGGCAAATGGCAGGTCAGAAATGTGGTTTTTTATAGAAGTTTGTAAAAATGTGTATTTATGCACATTATAACTTTGCACATAGATATATATGTGATAAATGTAATAGTTAAAAAATTCTTGTGCTCTACCTAGTTGATTCTCTACTCTTGGAAATGCTAAGCTCTAACTCTCTTTGGAATTGACAGCTTTCATGTCAACAATTACCTAAAAGAAGGTGACAGCAAATAGGTTTGTTTGTTTTTTTCCTTTGAGAAGTAAATGTAGTAAGAGTGACATAAATAAAAAGTAGATGGAATAAAGTGTTGACAGAAAAAAAAAATTCTAAACACATCTATGCATGGGTGTAAGGGAATAAGAAAGCTAGAAGGATAAAAGCTTATAGTCAGTATAATAGTGGAGTTGAAAACTTACGAGATGGAACACTTCAGGTGATGACAAGGAGCGTAGTGTGGCCTTGGCATCTAAAATGGCAAGGAACTATGAGGCCATGCACCACTCTAGCCTGTTCGCGTAGGTTTGTGGGAGGGCCTAGGGTGAAGAACCCAAGTCTGAGCCAGATTCCAAAGACTTCAGTAGATGGGCTATTAAACAGCAACAGAGAGCTGCATGGGAGATTAGAGGACTGCTATATTGAGAAACAGTATTAAGGAGCCTGGAGGATACTAATAATACCGAGATAAGCTGTGGAAAAGTGTTCTCAGGGAAGAGCCAAATGTCCTTTAAAACAAGTGGGAGAGGGAACAAATTGTGAAGAGGTGACACAATTTGTCCACTAAAGATTGCATGTTTCAGAAGCTGTCATAAAAGGATTGGGGGAGGGGCACCTGGGTGGCTCAGTCAGTTGGGCATCCGACTTCGCCTCAGGTCATGATCTCCTGGTGAGTTTGAGCCCCGCGTCGGGCTCTGTGCTGACAGCTCAGAGCCTGGAGCCTGCTTCAGATTCTCTGTCCCCCTCCCTCTCTCGCTGCCCCACCCCCGCTTGTGCTCTGTCTCTCTCTGTCTTTCAAAGATGAATAAACATAAAAAAATAAAATAAAATAAAAAAGATAGGGGGAGAAGGGGGTGATGATTGTAGGTCAGGGGAGCAGTAACAGCAATATGAGGGTAAGGCTTCAAGGAAGATAAATAGATTCAGAAGCCTTCATTTTTGGGTATCATAATGATAGGGATATGAAGCTTAGTGGAATTAGTTATGTTTAATAATTGAGAAGTTTATGATACAACCTTTATGTTCTCTATAATCATAGAGGTACTTAAAAATTATACCTTCAGAGGGGCGCCTGGGTGGCGCAGTCGGTTAAGCGTCCGACTTCAGCCAGGTCACGATCTTGCGGTCCGTGAGTTCGAGCCCCGCGTCAGGCTCTGGGCTGATGGCTCAGACCCTGGAGCCTGTTTCCGATTCTCTGTCTCCCTCTCTCTCTGACCCTCCCCCGTTCATGCTCTGTCTCTCTCTGTCCCAAAAATAAATAAACGTTGAAAAAATAAATTAAAAAAAAAATTATACCCTCAGAAGTTATTAGGCAAAAAAAAAAAAAAATAAGATGGAGAAGATTTGAGCAACAGAATAGACATAGTACTCTATTCAACAGAGTGATATATATTCTTTTAAAATGCATACCAAATCATTTCATGAATTTACTGCATGATAGTCCACAAAAGTAATCTCAGCAAATACCAAATAACTGATATCATACAGACCCTACTTTCTGATAACAGTGTAATATCTTTATAAATCAACAAAAACTTAATTTGAAAACTCCATATGTTTGGAAACTGAAAAGAATACTTACGAATGATTCATTTGAAAGGAAATCATAATGAAGGAAACTTATTTCCAGCAGTATGGCAGACAGGATCCTCTTGCAAGCAGTTAAGAAACTTGTATAAAATGTGCAGTACATATTTTAGATACAACAGTGTTCTAGGAAGAAAATAATTAGAGAATGCTCAGAGGACAATAATCAAAGGAAAGCAGAAACTCTAAGAGGTAAGACTTGAGAGTATTTCCTGAGCCCAGTGTTCTTGAACTTGGGTTTGCAGAGTGCAGGGGATAAAAGCAAGGCCCAGGGTCCTAAGATTGGGACTCTAATACGAGATGTTTTTGAATAAATCTAGAACTTCCAAGAGAGAACTAGAAATAAACTCTAGCACAGAGTTATGGTGAATCATTAGTGTGTTGTGGAATCAATTGCATGGTTACTGTTAGCACTTTTTTGTTGTTTTTATTTTTGTTTGCTGTTTGTTTTGGGATATCACATGTAGTACTCAGGTCACTTTTTGTTTCATATTTGTGTATTAGTGTGTATTTGTATTTGGGTGTATATATCAATACACTTAGTTTTACTGTTATTTTTTACCATCAGTGAATCATAGTAAAAAAAAAAAAAAAAAGGAAAGTGGCTGCCTTAGAGAAACAATGTCGTGTGCAGAAAATACATGTACAGCTACTCATTTCAGCATTATTTATAATAGCAAAGTACTGAAAGCAAACTAAGATTCTAGCAGTAGTAGAGAAGATAAATAAATCGTATTCTCATATATTGGAACATTATTCATCAGATAAAATGAGATAGTTACATATACTTATGTTAATATAGGTAAATCACAAAATATAATAATGAGTGGCAAACACTAGTTGCAGATTGGTAGGTAAGTATAATTGAGTTTATGTGAAATAAATAATCAGATATGCTGTTTTGGAATAATAAATACAACTTCAGTATGCCAATTCTGAAGAAAGAATAGAATGGGATTAGGACAGGGTTCTAAGGAATGGTGCAAGGCCCCCAATTTTGTGTGTGTGCACGCACACGTGTGCAAACACTTGCTATTAAGAAAAAAAACACTCTAATTGAATAACAAAATGTTAACATGTGAGTGGATAGGCACTTGGATATTGGTTATATAATTTCCTGTACTTTTCTGGTATTTGTACTGTTTGTTTTTTTTTTTTTTTAAGTTGTATCATGTCATAAATATGTAACTGTTGTAGTTTTCTTGTAGGGATCAGCTTTAGGAGGTGAATGATGTCAGAATGAAAATTGTTTTTCAAAATTAAATTTTTAAGTGTTCTTTAGAAAAACACAGTCAATTATATTGTCATGACACCTTTAATTAGATGAAAGCTATGTAGTTGCTATGCAATTAAGTACATAGGGAAAACAGGAAAAATTTCTCTGAGTGGTGTATTCAGAAAAAGCAAACTACTACTCACTGAATAAAAGTTGAAACTAAACATTATACTATTAAAATTGTAATTTGTTTAACCCTGAGGCAACAAAATAAAAACATATAATAAAAATATAATGAGTATCTTTAGGTATCTTTTATTTTGTCATTTACATTTTTGTTTGTTTTACTTAGCTGGTCATCTGACATTTGAATGCCGCAATTTTCTCCGAGTAGACCCCAAAAGGGACATAGTTTTGGATGTGAGCAGCACAAGTAGTGAAGAGAGTGATGAAGAGAATGAAGAACTGAATAAATTGCAGGCATTACAAGAAAAAAGTAAGTAATACTTTTCTTTCCCTACATCCTTTAAAAATGTTCCTAAATGTTCTGCTTTATTATGTAACATTTATTTACTGTTCTGTTATACTTATCATTAAGATACCTTGTGTATATATGTAAGAGGCACTGCATAGGTAAGGATAGGCTTTGGATGTTGTAAGTACTTTGCCCCAAATCAAACAGCAGATCAGTGTTAGAACCAGGAGGCACATCAATTTCTCATTCCACAAAGCAGGTTTTGTTATTGTTGTTTTTCCATCACACTAAGATGTGTCACATGGTATAAAGAATCTGATTTAAGACTTGGTTTCTAGACCCATTTGGCCATTTTTTAGCAAGTGACTTTCAACAAGTTGTTTAACCCCTGTGAACCTTAATTTCCTTGTAGGATAACACAAAAGATCAGTTTGTCAAATCACACTAATTCAAATCAGAGATATTAGCCAGTACCAAGCTTTACTAAGAATTTCAAGTACATAAATGATCATGAAGCGTAGGGAGAACTGCAGAAATTCTAGGGCCACCAGCACAGCTCCCTGGGTATTTTCTTTCTTTCTCCTTCACAACCCATTCTGGCCAAGATTAACATGAGGTTTCTTCATTACACAAAAGAAAGTCATTTAATCATGAAACATGTCAATGTTATGTCCATATAGTTACATTTTCCAGTGAGCCATGCCGCATAAATCCATAGATTCCAGGATTATATATCATAAACTATCTTAGATCCAGTACATCATGCTATAAGTAGTCTATAAATAAGGATTCTCTTGCCAACAACTTGATTGTGGACTTCTAGCTTTTAGAACTGTGAGAAAAAGCACAACCCTCCACCTTCCACCCCCAAAGGTATTCTCTAGCTAGCAAACACCATTAATTTGTTTCCAGGAGGTCTGTCATTAGCATGTTTACAAAGAGATTTGACCAAGTTACCTTCTTTTTTTGTTGGGGGCATGCTCCTCTCTCCTCACAGAAGGAGTAGATTGTATACCTGCTGTTTAATCATTTCTTTCCCATCTTGTATATAAAATGGCCTCTCCTTGAAGTGGGGCTTTTAGGGATACGGTGTAATGCTGTATGTGGAAATACACCGTGGACTTCAAAATGATATATGGTAGATGTCACACAATCAAAATGCAGCTTGTTTGAATATGGCTTTAGGCATAGAATGAGAGATACAAAAAGTTAAAATCTTACTTTAGATTATCAGAGAACAATAAACAAAAAACACCTTGAAACTTCTTAAGCTTTCCATATTATATCTAGTGAAGGTAAATGAAAAGTCAAATGCCAGGGTACTAGGACAAGCTGAGAAGGCAGAAGAGGGAGAGAGTCTCAAAGAGGATCACTAAGGCTGAGTATATACAGCTTCAAGTAAAAGTAGCTGCTTGAGTATATATACTTGATTTTATTCCCTACTGAAACACCACTGAAATGATAATGGAAGAATTTAAAAAAAACATAAATGCACAAAGACAAAATGAGGTAGGAAGCAATAGTAACACAGTTATGAAAAGCAGTTGGGTTTAGTGACAACGGACTGCGTACTTGAGAAAGTTCAGTCCTTTAATAATAGGAAATCTGAGGAGTAACCTGATAGTGCACATTTTAAAACTCCCAGACAACTTGATAATGAGTATCCTTAGGTACCTCTGTGAGGATGTCAGTAAAGCTAAAAACAGAGGAATTGGTTAAAAATCTGAAGTAATTCCCTTCAGTTACCTTTCCCTACTCTGTGAAGCCAGATGGCTTCCCTCCATTACCTCAGTATGCTATTGCAGCTCTGTTTTCTAGACAGGTAAAACAAAGGGTCTTTAAACTGAGATATACCAAACACATATGAAAACAGTAAGTTAAAGGTGAGAACCTTCCAGCCATCTTCACCTGTTTGGTTCCCAGACATGTATCACCCAGGCAGAAGATCGGAAGATCTATCTCTGAGAGATCTGACCAGTCTAAGAAAAAAGAAATAAAGATAATGACCAAAGACATGACATAGTCACATTATGTTAAGTTGAGATTTCCATGCTTTGCTTGCTCAAAGCTTCAGCTTTTTAGACAATCATCAAGCACTAAATTTCTGAGGAAAGACTCTCAAGTGAAATATAGATACTAAAACCAACCAATGAACAAAAAAAGTCAGCTTGAAGGATACAGAGGCTGTGAAAGGAGAAAAAAACAAATCATTAATATCCAGTTTTATAGAAAGATAAGATATAGCACCCATGAAACAGAATAAGATACTATAAAAAGAACAAATCAGCAAAAGAACTTTTGGAAATTAAAAAAGAAGCAGACATAAAGAACTTAACAGAGATGGAAGATAAATCTAACAAGCAAAACAAGGGAAGGAAAAAAATAGTTAAGACAATTGAAGAATCAGTCTAGGAAATACTTCATTCACATGAGTCCCAGATAGAGAATACAGAAGGAATTTCCAGGAACTGAAGGACATTAGTTTCCAGGTGAAAGGGTTCAACCAGTACTAAGCACAGTGTTAAAATTAGACTCACATAAAGGCACACTGTTACAAAATTTCATATCACAGGAAATGAGAATATAATTGAAATTTCCAGAGTCAAGGATAAAACAAGTCATAGGTAAAAAATCAGGAGTCAGAATAACTTTGTTCTTCTCTAAAGTGATACTGGAAGCTAGTAGATGTGGATAATGCTTTCAGATTTTTGAAGGAAAGTTGTATCCAAATTAGAATGATATACCCAACCAAATTATCAACCAAGTGTGGAATAGAATAAAGGCATTGGCAGACATTCAAAATGAAAAAAAAAAAAAAAAATTATCTCTCACATACCCTTTCTGAGAGCACTGATTCCAGAGGTTTCTACCAAAGTAAGGGAATATACCCTAAGAAAGAAGACTTTATAGGAAGTAGAGGAGATAGGAAGGGAGTCCCTAGGTCACTTGTAAAGGAGATCTCAGGAAGACAGGCACCAGGCATAGAGAGCAGGCTGAAGGAGCAAAGCTGAAGATTCTAGGAGAGAAAGCCCAAGATTGCCAATTCCACAAGGACAGTTTCTACCCCATCCATCTACACTGCTGTGTCTAAGAACAAAAAACAAACAGAAACCGCCACCCCCCAAATCCCAAAACCAAGCAAAAACAAAAACTTGAGAATTCGTAATCCTCTTAGAAAACACATAATTTAAACCTAGTTTTACAGAAAAGGAACTGAAGACAGATGACTCCCAAGTGACTAACATCACAGTGAAGCCAGCACCGTGATCTCTGTTTCTTGCCTACTGGTCCTATACTGTTTACACTGTAGCGTACTGCTCTCCTACCGTGGAGATTATCCAGTCTTTTGGTTCTTCACTTTTTTTCCTTCACCATATGAATCTTGAAGGATAAAGTACACTGTCATCGTGAATAGAGGTTTATTCTAGAGGTTATTTTTCAATATGAACACCTGGGACAAATCTACCCTGGCAGGAAAGGGAAGGAGTTAACATACCATAATCACCAGGAAGGGATAAAACTTCCTTGTTCGAATCAGCTTTCCCTTACTTTCATGCTGAAAATGACTGACTCAATGTAGATTTTCTTTCTTAAAAAGGTACACTTGCCTATGGTCACTTAGAGGCTCAGAACTTGTTTCCCAGTATCATGACTCCCACTCAGGAGAGTGCTCATTCCTGTATATCATGCAGATTTCAGTAATAAAGTATTATAAAAGGGATCCAGGTGGCTCAGTCAGTTAAGTCCGACTTCAGCTCAGGTCATGATTTCACCATTCGTGAGTTCAAGCCCCATATTGGGCTCTGTGCTGACAGCTCAGAGCCTGGAGCCTGCTTCATATTCTGTGTCTTCCTCCCTCTGACCTTCCTCCATTCATGTTCCGTCTCTCTCTCTCTCTCTCTCTCTCTCTCTCTCTCTCTCTCAAAAATAAATAAACATTAAACATTTTTTAAGGGGATGCAAATTTATTTCATGGTTATCGAGTGGAAGCCCAGTGCCCCCCTGCCCCCAACTCCTGCCACTCAAATAAACAATAAATTGGTTCCTAAATACAGGGAAGAAGGGAGTGTAGAGGTTGTGGTTCTTAGTTCCATTGATAACTTTCTGTTACTGCTCAGGATGTCTGATGGGGTCAGGGTAAAACACTGACCTATTGATTGTGAGTTCTCATGCCATATCCTTTAGTACTCCTGAGGGTTCCTTGAATCCTGCCTTGGTTCTTCAAGGTGGGGAGCTCTTGTACCAACTATCTTGACTAAGTTGTGTGTGTGTGTGTGTGTGTGTGTGTGTGTGTGTGTGTGCTTTTTCTTTTTGTTTTTGTTTTTAATGACAATAAAAATAGTGAGCCAGGAGAAAGCTAAGAATTTTTAATGTGCTTACATTAATTAGTTGTTCTGCTTTCATGAAACAGAGACATAAAGGGGAGGAGAGATAAATGTCACCAAAAAATAAAACCCAAAATTTATTTTTGTATGTTATGTTCTTTTTTGCTTCTGTTTGTATTTATTTCTATTATATTATATATTTTTCAATGCATTTTATATACTTAGGGAATTAAAAGAAAACAATCTTTCATTTAAAACAAAGAAAATAGCCTAAATGACAAATATATCAATTTTTTGACACAAATTAGAAAATGTGAGAGCAGGGCTTGACATGGATGGGTACAATCATTGCAGTTTTATTACAATCAACAACCTGGAACCTGTACAGTGTTCTAAAATTGTGTTACCAGTGCTGTGAACAGGGAAAGATTGAACAATCAGTGTCTGATGAGGATTATACAATCTTATTGACTCACAGTGTGTGTATGTGTATGTTTATGTGTGAAAATCCTTACTGTCTAGTGACACTACAATACTCTAGGAAACTTGTTAAGGTTTTATACTGTGTTTTAAACTTGCTGAGAAACTTTCCTTTGGAATTGTGTATGATAGTAGCAAATATTTGAAGACCTGTTTATATTAGAATATACAGAAAGTCAAGGTAAATTTTTACTATTTACAAAGGACCCAAGAAGT